AGCAATAAACTCTAGTATTCTTTCTTTTACATCAGATAATCCGTAATGATCTTCGTCAAGAACCTTTTCTGCCCTTAGGACATCGAAATTCTCATCACTGCAAACCAAATAATTATGATTATAATGAGACTTTCCAATCAGTGCACAACAAAAAAATCAATTACAAATGGTGTTATTATTCTCTTCAAGACATGAACATGAAGCAAATGGCAAACCTAACATTTCCCCAAGGCAACACGGTCAACCAATCAAGGTAGTTATAAGCCACGCTGTAATTGTTCCACTCGGTATCTAACAGCTCCAGGTTTTTAAGCTCTTCTTCAATAACTTTTAACACATGTTTTGGAATTTTGTCTTTATTAGGCTCAATCCTTTCCCAAAACTTTTCTGAAAAAAAAGAGAGGAGAAGAACAAACTTTATAATGATCGACGTATAACTCTTGTAATCTGAATGTTTGGATCACTCTGAACTAACCAGAATGTGAAGATTCGTCATTGCTCTCCTGCGTTGGGACACTTAATAAGTTAATAGTCATCAACCAATGATACAACAGTTAATAAATAAAACAATCATTTGCAAAAATCTAGTACTTGAACCTCGTTAATTTCCCATTGGTTTTTCAAAAATTCAAGCGTTAACTCCAGACGTTTCTGAACCTGGAAGAAACCAATAGGAGAAAGCTCACTAACTAAGAATGAAATATAATCATGTTTGAGGTAATCTCATAATCAAAACGTCACAGTAATAGACTAATAGTCAAATTACTTACATCCCTTCTTTCAAGAACATCCTGAATTTGATCTTTTCTAGCGCCAGAGATTCCGGTTCCAAAATCGGCTAAATCCTGATAATTGAAGTCACCTATAGGCTATAGAAATTCAAAAGAAATCTACTAAGAACCTGATATATTCTGACATATTTTGCAATCGCAAGTAGTGCCAATATATGAAGAGAACATGCCTGGGTATATATCTCAACTTGAACTCTCCTGCGTAATTTTGTATTTAAGAAATACTTAAGCGTTAACTCAACTTCTTTGGATTTTGCCTTGATAACATCATCGTCCTTGTCATATGGCTTATCCTGCAAAGAAATAACAAAGACAAACGTCACAAGGGTCAAGGACTCAAGGGTTATAGATTCCGGAATTTCAAAAGGATATAGAACCACATGTCAAAACACACCTTTAGATGGTCAATTCTCACGGTTAGAGGTTCTTCACTCACCTATACAAAAACAAAAGCACACTGAGATAACAACCACCATGACACTTGATAAAAAGAAGACAAATAGGGAAGGCATATATACACACAGCCTCTGACTTTAAATTTTTTACTTTTAAAGAACTTTAATATTCCTTTTAAAAGAGAAATATTGAATCTCGTTTCTTGACTTACCAGCTCCGTTATTCGAAGTCGTCTTCGACCGATAAGGATGACGTTATTACCTTGGATACTTGAAATCTAGAAAATCGGGCAACGGTCAAGCCTTTCACACAAACACACAGAGAAGAAAAACTCAGTGCTAACGTGCAGCAAGAATATACCTGAGCAAGTGTGCCAACTTCGTGAATAAGCTTAAGCAACTGTGCTTTCTTGATCTTCCTTGGCCTTTCCACTTCTCTACAATATTCTCTGTTTTAGAGGTAGAAGATGAACGAGTTGAAGCGTCATCCTTCAAAAGGAAAGTCCCTGCATATGGAGCTTTACTTTTCTTGCTCTCTTCTAATGCTGCAAGTACAATAGGATCCTACACGAGAAAAAGGTCAGAGAGATCCCGAGCTGAGACAATAATGTAATGGACTGCAAAACTTGTTTCCAGAATTAGGTTTGAATGTAACATACCTTGACACATATTGACATGCAAAAACCAGGAAGAAGAGGCTTTTGTGGCAATGGCAATGCTATAACCTGAAATTAAAACAAGATTTTATCTGCAAAATCTCGAATTTATTGTCCCACCAATAGAGCAGCAGCTAAACGTAATTCCCATAAGCATTATATATCTCACAACACTGGATTTAACTTTCCAATTGCTAAACCATAATGAGATGTTTTTGCCAATTGAGTTGAATTGCCTATGATCTATGACCAAATCTAAGCCGTATAATTGATTAATTTCAGTCCATTCTCGAAATCCTACATTGTGATCATAAAATTTCCCAAACTTCTTGTTATCAC